CAACGCTTGGCCTTAGGGTATAAAGTAAAGTGAATACTGATCCCTGCAGAGAAAGAACCTGTGACCTGGGTGTTATTAGCACCATGTGGTACCACACTGAGTTAATGGCAATTAGTGAAAATCAGAGACAACAAAACCCAAAGGTGTCCCTGAGGGCTAAGCCCAGGGCACTCTCTGGGGCTCATTATCTATTGTCTGAAAAAAAAATGCTGGAAGGGGTTGTGATAATGGCCAGAGGACAGACAGGTCAGTGAAAGACAGAGTCACAGGCTAGTGGACCTATGAACACCAGGCTGCTGTGGGGTGGAAGGGGACCTGCTTCAAGGGCTATGAGAGCAGGGCTTGATGCTCAGGATGGATGGATTCCTTCCTTCCTGCTGCAGATCAAGGGTCGTCATGGTTATGCTGGGCAGAACAGCAGGCTCTTAACTGACCACGGCATTTCAGTAAAGGTCCCTCATGGGGCTCTGGGAAAGAGAGGCTGGACACCTGTGCTCACCTTTACTGCAGCCCAAACCCCACCCAGTCCCCCAGATGTGGTACAGCCAGAGTAACATAAAGAGTACAGCTGAGGCGGTCTACTGCAACACCGAGGTGTGTGAGGGTCGCTGGGAGAAACCAGGTGTGGTGAGTGAGCTGCTCCAGGAGGAGCAGGCATGGACAGAACAGTATGACTGGGGGTGCTAGTGGCAAATTTAATGGGGAGAAGGTTGGCGTGGGGAGATGAAAAAGTAGGAGAGGAAAGAGATGTGAAAATTCCCATTTTTGAGCCTGGAAGGACAGAAAAGAAGGGAAAGATCCCTTTCAGAAACTTACTTCAATTTTTGAAGAGTTAAAAGTAGACTGGGGCTTAGAATTTAAGGTGCAGCAGGTACAGGGATAGGAATAGAACAATGTTATTATGAAAGATACAGAGATATGAGGCTGAGAATCAGGACAATGAAAGTTTTGTTGAAGCGAGTATTTGAGAACAATTCATGGAATGCAACAGATTTATGTCAGATATAACAAACGGGTGCTGCTTTTATAGAAATTTAAAATATAATATAAAGTCTTTGTGTTCATACAGCTCAGAATGTAATAGAAAGTAAAGAAATGGTTGAAATAATTTTGTGATTTCTGTTATATAGGTATTTAAATGGAAATCATGTGTAGAGATGTCAGAATAGAGGATAATCTGTTTGAAGGGAAGCAATATATCAGAGTGCCTAGTGGGTATGGTAGAGGATGAATTCCAGCAATATTAACTTGATTCCTAAATGGAAAATACAGAGAAGACACAGATAGCTATATATGCGAAGGTAATGGCTATGAAGTAGCATGCAGTATTTGGAATTGAACAGAACTCTTAGACAACTATAAAACTGAATACCATACTTTAAAAAGAGAAAGCCATATCAAACTTTGCAGACCAAAATTATGGCTGGTAGATCTCTCAAAATTATGTAATGTTGTTCTAAACTTACTGATGACCAAAAGTACTACGGTACATGTGGAGAACCTTAAAAATTTAATAGCAGTATTTTGTATCCCAAAATCTGAGAAGACTTTCTGGCTTCTTTGCCTTGGTGATAATCTGGAGAGGCCCTCATTCCTAGATTCCTCACAGCAAAGCTGACTCCCACAGGTATTCTCAGTGAAGACACAGCATGGAAAGGAATGACTGTGTGTGTGATAACAACATAGGTTCTTGCATAGGGGCTTCTATTTCTGCATGCCTTTCCATATGAGAACAAATATATATAAAGTACATTTTAGAATAACTTTTTCCCTAACGAATAAGTATTTAGTTATGATTTATGCATCCTTAAATGTAATCTGAATGGAAAGGTACATTTTTGTTTGAATTTGTACAGTTCTGCCTCTGAAATATTTATTTATTTACTTATTTTTGTCTTTTTGAGACAGGGTCTCACTATGCAGTTCAGGCTGGTCTTGAGCTCACTTTGTAGCCCGGGTTGATTTCAAACCTTCAACAGTCTTCTTGCCTTAGCGTCCCGTGTGGTAGGATTACAGGCACCCACCACCATGCCCAACTTGCGTCTGAAAATATTTCTATTTGTAAATATAAACCCTTTTACATGTGTATATGAGCGTGTATGCTTCAGTGTATAAATTTAGATAAATGTGTGTAATGTGTGATATTTGGGAGTACATACAGCTGTGGTATGTGAGTATTCATACTAATTACTAAATGTATCAGTATCAGTATGAATAGGCTTGTTTCATACTGATTAGTTGCATATAGGAGAACTTCTAAAATTCTAGTAATAGATGAACTTGTCTAATATGAAAGTTCTCTTAATAAGCAGAGCTGACCTGTAAAATATATAATATGCATCAGGATCTTTCTTCTGATTGCAAATCCAGGCACTCAGAAGCTCTAGTTTCAGAGTATGCTACTTGAAGGGGGACACAGACTAGTTCATGAGAAACCTAGACAACAGAGAGAGACAGACAGACAGAGACAGAGACCCAGAGACAGAGAGATACACAGAGAAATAGACACAGAGAGAGAGAGAAAGAGAGACTGACAGATAGAGACAGAGATACAGATAGAGACAGAGATACAGAGAGAGACAGAGATACAGAGAGACAGGGACAGAGACAAAGAGACACAGAGATATACAAAGAAACAAACACAGAGACAGAGCGAGAGAGCTGCTTTTAAGTGGCAGGAGAGGCAGGAGTGTGCAGAGGGCAACCTGGAGCACTAAAAGGCCTACCCTGGATAACCTGGAACACTAGTGCAGTTGTTGGACCAGGCACAAGAGGCAAAGCCCAGGGCTTAGCAGCCAACAGCAGCAAGGGAAGGATGAGTGAGTGACAATCTCACTACAAGGAGCTAAGACCAATTTCATTCCTTGGTTGGCATCATACAATGTACTGGGATCCCCATAATGTTCAAAATATGGAAGGCCAGGCCTGGTCCAGGCACGAATCCTAGCTGGTCTAATCTGAGAATGTTGGAGCCTGGAGCAAAGTGGGCATGCTGGAGAACCCGTTCAGGTCTGGAAGGTGAGTGAGCACAACATCTGAGCAAGCCCAGCAGAGGGAGGCAGAGTTCCTGGGCTAGGTAGGTACGCTGGGTTCAGAGTGTGACTCAGGCTCTGGACTGGAAGATAGAGTGGTCAGGAGTCCTGGGTTCAGCAGCCACTTAGCGGGCAGGGGAGCCTTGGCAGGTCTTGAGTTGCATAGATAGCCCCTTCCAAAGGGGCAGTCAGGGAGACCTTTTCTGGTCCTCAGAGCTTGGCCAAGCTGCCCTGGACCCTGAGTGTGGCTGACTGGACTTGATAGGAACCCAGATCTGGTTGTGGCTTGGAGTGTGGGCTGACAAAGTTCTCACCCTAGTGCTAGTGAGAATGGGTCAGGGGCTGCCCTTTCTGCCCTCAGTGGGCACAGCTGGACAAAGCCAGGTAGTAGGTGCAGGCAGAGGCTGAATGTACCAGCGTCCTAGGACTCTCAGAGAGGAGAGGAGCTTCCTTGGGACCCCAGCACAGCCCTCCAGTCTTGATTTTCAAGCCTGTTTCACATACATCTTTCTCAAATATTTAGGTTTCTGGTCAGAGGCATTATAATCTCTCTGTCCCTCTACCCTCCCTCACCTCCTCCCTCTTCTCCTCCCTCTCCCCCTCCCTCCTCTCCTCCCTCTTCCCCTCCCTCTACCTCTCCCTCTGCCTCTGTGCCTCTCTCACCCTCTCCCTCTTCCCCTCCTTTTCTCTCCCCACCCCCGTCCCTTTCCCTCTCTATATATTTATCTATGTATTTGTACTATGGTAAAAATAAACCCACTGAACAAATGTTTAAGTGTGCAGTTCAGTGTTGTTAACTAAGTAGAAATTCCTTTGGAATTAGGTATATTAAATTCAGTTTCAACTTACAATATTTAAAAGTTACAAATGAGATTATTGGAGTGAATCCCACCAACAGTCAAGAAGCAACTGTGTGTGTGTGTGTGTGTGTGTGTGTGTGTGTGTGTGTGCATATGTGTAAACTTAAATATATTTTTCAAAACATTTATAGAGTCCTTTGTATTTACCTACATATTTACCAATTTCATCACTCTTCATGTCTTCTGCTAGTTCCTCTTACCATCCGGTTTCACTTCCTTTCAGACAGAATGTCCTTTTATACCCTCGTTGTTGCTGGTCAGTGGTTTGTCACTAAAAGGACGGCAACCTCCGAGTAGTGAGCGTTTAGGTGGGGGAATGACTTTACTGTATACCCAGTCCCTTTTACTGAAATTAGAAAAATATTTGGAAATTATATGGGTAGCTTAGCTAATTCTAAGGCTTTTGTTTTGGGAAATCTCTCAGTGTTAATGTCATCAACTAGCTGGGTAAACAAGATGTCTAATTTTTATTTCTTTTTTTTTTTTTTTTTGTCATTGTAATTTCCCCACAATTGTCTTCTAACTGAGGGAAGTAGGAAATGTTTTAAAATGCATATGCAAAGACTTGTTTCAAATTATTTAAATTTAAAATGTATGGGGCATTGAAAGAGAGAACTCCAAGGTCAAATAAACATAGAATGGCATGGGGATGCATTTTGGAATCATCAGCTTACAGACTTTAGTAGTTACCATGACAGTAGACAAAACTGCTGAGGAAAAAAGAAAAAAGACCAAATAAGGATCCACCAGTAATAAAAATGTACAAACTCGCAGATCACTGAGAAAAAAATTGCTTAGGAAAAATGAATGCCCCTAGACTTAGAAACAAAGTACCAGGCACTTTAAAGAGAACAATCAAAGTAGATCAAATGTGACTGTGTTACCAGCACAGAAGACAGTTTGCATGGGGTGGGAGGAGGATAAATAAAAGGTGTAACAGAAGGGATGTGTTTGTTCATAAGGAAGGAACATGTCTGTATATGTATGCATGGAGAAGACAGAGGAGAATCAGGCTATTGTAGAAATCATCATATACATATGTCACAGGATTAAGTAAGCATCTTTCATCAATTTTCAGGTTCCAGAGTTCCAGTCGTTATGCCGAACTATGTCAACACTGCTTACCCAGTCAGATCCCAACAGCAGCACCACAATGGCTCCCACCTTCCTGCTGGCGGGCATGCCAGGCCTATCGGCTGCACCGTCCTGGTGGACAATACCTCTCATCGCTGTCTATCTCCTCTCTGCTCTGGGCAATGGCACTATCCTTTGGATCATTGCCCTGGAGCCCACGCTACATCGTCCAATGCATTTCTTCCTCTTCCTGCTCAGTATATCTGATGTTGGTTTGACCACGGCCCTAATGCCCACCTTGCTGGGCCTGGCGCTTGCTAACGTTCACGCTATTCCTGCCTCAGCCTGCCTTTTACAGATGTTCTTTGTCCATGTCTTTTCTGTCATGGAGTCCTCTGTCTTGCTGGCCATGGCCTTTGATCGGGCACTGGCCATCTGCCGCCCACTCCGCTACCCAGCCATCCTCACCAATGGTGTCGTCAGCAGGATCAGTTTGGCCATTGCTTTCCGGTGCCTGGGTGTCCACCTGCCCTTGCCCTTTCTCCTGGCCCACATGCCATACTGCCACCCACAGATCCTGACTCATTCTTATTGCCTGCATCCAGATATGGCCCGTCTGGCTTGCCCAGGAGCTTGGAGTACATTCTACAGTCTCATAGTGGTCCTGTCAGCTATGGCTTTAGACCCCCTGCTTATTTTCTTCTCCTACAGCCTGATCGGAAGGGTGCTGCGCAGTGTGGCGTCCAGTGAGGACCGCTGGAAGGCTGCCCAGACCTGTGCCGCTCACCTCTCTGCTGTGTTCTTCTTCTACGTCCCTATGATTCTCTTGGCCTTGGTAAACTGGCTCAAGCTGCCGCTCCCTCAGCCTGCACACACTCTTCTCTCCTATGTCCACTTCCTGCTCCCCTCCCTGATAAACCCAATCCTCTATAGTGTCAAGGTGAAGGAGATTAGAGAGAAAATACTCAAGCGGCTACAGCGCAGGAGGGTGAGGTGTGCTCAGTGAGTAGAACGTTTCTCCACACATAGTATAGAGACACTCCTGACGCAAGGGCTTCTGTGACTGAGACCTCAGTTTGTAACACATGAAATAGTCTTTCAGGTAAACAAGGGGCTGTAACTGAATATATATACTTGTTCCTAGAAATGAGCTTGTGCACATTAATGAAAAGAATACCAGAGAGGGGCTGGGGATTTAGCTCAACAGCACAGAGCCTGCCTGGCAAGCACAAGGTTATGAGTTCGATTCCCAGTACTGGGGAAAAAAAGATAATAATACCAGAGAACCGAAGTAAGCCCTACAACACATACACATGCACACATGCATACACACACTCTTGCATTACATATCAATGGCATAGAAAGCACCAGACTCCAGGGTTTGTCACAGCCACCCAAGTGTGTGTCTGCTGTTTAATTGCTGTGAATTCCTTTGCAATATCCATAACTTAATGACTGAAGAAAGCCGAGGAGTAAAAATGTACACAGCACAAAAATGTACACATGTAAAAATGTACACAGCACAAGAAAGAGAAGACTATAGTATTCCGCCCAGCTGGATGGAGGACTTCTCCCACGTGATTGATCCTTAGGGGTGAAATGAAAGAGGAAAATTCACTCACCCTCTCATTTATGGTATTCAAACCAAGATATAGGTTGTTTAACTCATCATCCAGGAAAAAGAAACATATTTTTACACTATACTTTTTTGTAGTTTAGTTTATTAGTACATGTGTCTTGCATGCTGTGCCTACATCCTTTGTGTGGAGCTGGTGCATGGACATAACGCATCTTAATTCCTTCCTCATCCCCTTTCCCTCCCCTTTTATCCCCCCATCTCTTGATCGCTTCTTTTTGGTTTGTACATACGTATAATACATGTCTACATTCCTTGTATATGGTTGGTACATATCACTAACACATCTCAATTCCTTTAGTTTTAAAATGTTAGTTGAATTTTTGATATATGCGCATTTAGCATTAAAGTTTCACATAATTCAGAAAAATGGAATAAGTAAGCATCACCTTACATGATACTATCCATGCTTAACCACAATTACCGTTTTAGTAAACATTAATAATTATAATGCTTATAGAAGTAGAATCTTAAATGTGGTGTACAGGACTACTGGTCTTAATCTTTACTTCTTGATAGCTACAACATTAAACCCCCACACTCACCTCATAAAGAGCAGAGTTGGCACATCAGACTTACCGTGACTTTGAGCATGTATACGTAATCTGTTCTCTTCCATAAAGCCCTTATGACCTGTTTTGGATGCTAATGGATGTGATAAGAGAAGCAATTTCAATGTTATTTCAGTGGAGTTTGACTTCTTGTGCTGTAAGTAGTTCTTCAATAGTAGATTCTGCTTCTTTAACCTGGTCTCCAGAATAAGACATATGGTCCAGGCCTGAACAAAACCCACAGCCTGGGGCCAGTCACTACTGCCTGGACTCCTGAGCAGATGCGCCAAGTCAAAACAGCCTAGGTTAAGGGAATCTCTGTCACCTAATGACTAGTGAGCACTGCATCAACATTGCAAGCAACTGCAGTGTTCTGGCTGGTGACACTCTGCACCTGGTTTTTCTTACAGTTAAAATCCCTCCCAAGTCAAATAGTATGAATCTAATTCACTCACATTACTACATAATATCTGATTGGGTGGATTATAATTTATTCAACCATTTTCTTTTAGTAAATATTAGAAAGGTCTTCATTTGTAAGCCACTCCAACAAATGCTGTCTTAAATATTCTTCAAGAGCTTCCCACTTATATTGATGCCATTATTTTTTAGGAATTATCTCCATATCATTAATCCTGTATATTTTTCAAAATTCTAATATTTGGCCCTTCACAAAAGACCATATCAATTCATATTTTTGCACATCAGAGAAGGATGTCATCACAATTGACTGCTTTGGTGTTCTAAATTTTTCATGAACTTTATTAATGACAATCATCTTATTCTACTTTATTTTTTATTGTCTTAATAGTGAGAAAGAATGTTTCATACATGTCTATTGATTATTTTGAGTTTTCTTCCATGAGGAACTTGTTCAAATAAACTTCATCCATTTTTCCATTGGGCTGTTTATGGTTTGAATATAAATGTTCAAGAAATCTTAGTTTTAGGCAATTCCCATTCTAACATTGTATTTGGTCTTGTTTAGTAACCAACTCTCAAGGAAGTATAGATAATATTACATAATTAAATTCACTCACTTCTTTTCCATTATAATTTTTGTCTTTTATATGTTGCTCTTTAAAAAGTATGTCTGGGCTGGATATGTAGATCAGCATGCATAAAGCCCTGGTTCAATCTCCAGTACTAGAAAATGATGACCATCATCATCACCAATATTTTGATCTTTATGTTCTATGAATAATCTCCTCTTAACTTTGTCTAAAATTAAGCCGAGTGTGCTGTAATCTCATCACTCAGGAGGCTGGGGCAGGTGGATCACCATGAGTTCAATACTAGCCTAGGATATATAATGAGTTCAATGCCAACCTGAACTATACTGTGAGACCTTGTCTATAAATAAATTAATTCATTAATCAATTTATAGATTTGTTGTAGTGGATTGATAACTGGTGGTCAATATATAACCCCCAACTGAACTAAGTGTGGTGCTGGGTATGGGAGGCCCACCTGGGGACTGTTGCCAGCAGCATAAGAGGCAGACCTGGAGAAGTAGAAGAAAGGCTTGTGGGAACTAAAGAGGCTGTTGGGAGCGGAGAAAGACTGTTGGAGCTGGTAGAAGCTGTAAGAAGCTGTTGGATCTCTTGGACGAGCTCGTCATGCTGGCTTTCCCGATGAACTTGGCTGTTTTCATCCTCCAAGGAGTTCAGGACCTTGTTGGCACTGAGAATAGCTTCATTTCACTTTGGGGGAGCTCTGATCCTCACTTTGAGCATCACTTCCTGGCTCTGGAGGGGAAGATTGTGCACTACCAGTCTCCTAGAGATGCTTGCTGCATTGGTTTCCTTGAGGGGAACTTGGCCATCTTGATCTTCGGAGGAGCTTGGGACCTCACTGTTGCTGAGGATGGCTGTGGTAACTTTTGGGAGAGTTCTCATTGTTCTGAGTGTCACTTCCTGGCTCCGGTGCAGATCCCTCAGCCTGTTAGTACAGATAGCTTCATCCTGCTGGCATAGACTTTCTAGATTCCACCACTGACCTTTGGGCCTTCACAGCAGATCCGTGAAATAGCCCTGCATGAGATACTGTTATGGGCTCCAACCTCCAGGTGGATTCGTGGGAGGCATTGTTACGAGCTCTAGGTCTTAAACTGGACTCATGTAGGACATTATCATGGGATCCAGGCCCTCAGCTGGATTCTTGGTCCGTAGTGTGCAGACAAATTTCCTGCACTATCTGGTATATCATTCTTTGGGTGACTATTATAAATAACCTTAAAAACTGTGTGTCCTGTATTGTATTGTTCCCCCTTGCAAACATATCCCTCAAACCAACACATTTGTCTAAAATTATTGTAATCGTTTTTACTTTTAAATCTTTCTCTTTCAAAGACCAAACTTAATCAGTACTAATATAATTGCATTTCTTACAGATATGTACTCAGAGAATCATCTGTAAAATTCATCATTTTATACTCACTGAAATAAAATATGATGTACATTATCTTCTAAATATATGTGTATGTATATTTATACACATCAACACATACATCTGTGTGTATTTATAGCTTTGCTTTACAAATCCCTTAATTATGACATCACTAATCTTTTTAAAGAGCTTCATGGTGTGATTTAGTTAAAAATATGGTACAGAGAAATTCCAATACCATTTTAATGAAATAAATAAAAGTTTTGGATTTCTAATAGGAATTATATTTATAGGAGAGATGTAAGAGAATAATGATTAATAATTTTTCACAAGAATGTATGATGTGTTTCATTTAATAATGTCATTTTTATATTGTTCAACAAAACTATTTGCCTAAACTAAATTTACTTCTATGTATTTTATAAGTATATGGCTTTTGTTGCTGTTACAAAAAAAATTTGTCATCTATAATTAAAATGCTTTCTCATCAAATTACAATATGCAATGCACTAACCATTGATACTCTCCTACAATCTTATTTTGAAACATTATAGCACTGTTTTTATTGTTTATTTTTTTACTTGAAATTTTTTTCTTTTTCTTTTTCTTTTTTTTTTTTTTCTTTTTTTTCTGGTACCAGGAATTGAACTCACGACCTTGTGCATGCCAGTCAGGCATTGTGCTGCTGAGCTAAATCCCCAACCCCTTTTTAAAATTAAAAATTTGAAAAAATAAAAATAAATAAGGCTTTATCTAATTACTGTGTGAACTACAGCAGTAGTTTGTATTTTTTTAAATTCTTGGATAGTATTTGCATGTAGCATAAGTAACTAAAAATATATAATTGGTAATTTTCCCAATATTCAAGCAAACTATTTATTTTCTTTTTTGTTTAATTCACTAGCACCTCCAAAACAACTATAAAAGAAGAGTAAAAATAAATATCCAAATTTTATTTCTACTTTTAGTGGGAACTGCATTTTCGGTTTACTTTTCAAAATTACAGTTTGCTGGTAGATTTTTGAGTAAACCTTACAACATTTGAATAGTTCATTTGCTTTCCAATTTTATTAAATTTTAATAGGCTTGTCTACTAAATCATATCAAATCTTTTTCAGCATTCGCTGGTAAAGCACAATAATCATTCCTTAATGAATTAATAACATTTTGGATATTGAGATATCCTGGTCCTCTTGTGATTAGAAAGTAATGCATTTCAAATGAAAAGAAGCGAACTGAACCCACATGGTTCGAAAGAAGAGTAATGACATGTTGGGATGTGTTCCTCATATTGTACTAAGCTTCCCTTTGAGGTGTATGTTTTCTTACGAAAGCAATCAGATGAATTGGTCTCTCCATTTCCCAGCCTACGAATTTAAGATTTCCTCAAATGAATAAAAGTATTACTGAGACAGCGCTTAACTTCATATT